TTTTTTATAATACGTCTGCAGAGCTGAAGCAGTGGTTGATATGAATTAATATTTTGAAGTTTAAATAAATGGGAGACGATCTCTTTACAGATCTTCGAGAAAATACACACCTGCCAACAACAGATTACGAGCAATGATGGGATTTATACCGAAAAATGCTAATGTCAGTTTCTCGGCGGATTCCTCTCAGAGTGAGGTGCGATATATGCCCATAGATAGCCTGTGTGTGTGCACTTACTGCGACTCCTACCCATCACAATATAATCTACATGTCTGAACATCACGTGACTTCAATGTCACCATTTAGAAAACACAGAGCACGCCGTGGTGGCGTTGTGGTTTATGTTAAAGATAATGTCTGCGCTTAAGTGAGTGAGTGAGTGAGTTCAGTTTTACGCCGCACTCAGCAATATTCCAGCTATATGGTGGCGGTCTGTAAATAATCGAGTCTAGACCAGACAATCCAGTGATCAACAGCGTGAGCATCGATCTGCGCAAGTGGGAACCGATGACATGTGTCAACCAAGTCAGCGAGCCTGACCACCCGATCCCGTTAGTCGCCTTTTGTGACAAGCATGGGTTGCTGAAGACCTATTCTACGCCGGATCTTCACGGGTTGAGACAAGCATGGGTTGCTGAAGGCCTATTCTACCCCGGATCTTCACGGGTTGAGACAAGCATGGGTTGCTGAAGACCTATTCTACCCCGGATCTTCACGGGTCTACGCTTAAGAATACAGGTCACCTGCAAAACCTGCACATACTTCATTGCTACTTTGTATCGTGCTGATAAACGTGTCTACTATTGGAACTTAATTGATGAGTCGATAGACATTGCAACTGATCTTGGTATGTTTACAGTTGTTACTTGCGATATCAATCTAGACAAACAATGTCTGATTTGAAGCAAATAATTACAGAACCTACAAGAATTGCCCCATATTCTAAAACTCGATCTGATCTGATCGATTTGATGTTCTTGTCCAGTGTAGACAATGTAAGACTTTCAGGCGTATTAGAACCCACGTGTAGTGATTACTGCCAGATCTTTGTTAATATAAAAGAAGTGATACCCCAAAATCACACTTTTAAGCGAAAAATATACAATTAATCTTTGATAGATGTAGATGGTATAAGTCACGATATTAATACCATAGACTCTGAAAGTCTATTTTCATGTGACGATATTTATACTATCACTAAAGATTTTACTTGTAAAATTAAAGATATTTTCGATAATAATATACCGAATAGGACAGCCAACCTCAGGAAAAAAGATCCCCTGTGGTTGATAATGAATAATGAGATTCGTTCTCTAACAAGAAAACGGAATCGTATTCATAATATTGAAAAAAAAATAGACTCGCAGTTTGGGACAATTTAGACAATGCAGGAATAAAGTAATATCATCAAAAAAGCCGAAACAGCTAAAAAATTAAAAGTAGATCAAATAAAGAATAGTCCAATGGTACTATGATGTGGTGGCGAATGGTTAACAAGTATGTAAACAAACACATCGAAAATTCTTCGTTAACGGCAATTGTATCAATTACCATTTTCATGACATGGAAGATATAACCAATGTCCCGAATGGATGTTTCGTTGATCAGTCAGAGGTTATTGGACCGTGTAAAGTTAAATGAAAGATTACAGTCTGTGATTACAGTCTGTGATTACAGTCTGTGGATGTAAATCTACATGAAGTTTGTGATATTCTTCTGTCTGTGGAGCCAGGTGGTATAGGAAACAAACTTCTAAAAGTAACAGCGACTAGCTGACCAGGTTATTTAACTTATTTCTCCAAAATGCATGTTTTCCGACAGCCTGGAAACAAGAAATTACGAAACTTCATAAAAAGGTGATGTACAGGAATGTTCAAACTATAGACCTGTCGCACTTACGAGTTGCTAGCGAAAGGTTTTGAAAAGTGTATTTTCAAACATGTGTTCACATTTTTTCTGGGAAAATAAGCTTCTAACCAATCTACAGTCGGGATTTATGCCAGGCGACTAAGCATCATATCACCTCACATGCCTATAGAATTTTATCGCTAGTGCATTATATAATTAGTCGAAGGTAGAGTCATTTTCTTCGATGTAACCATAGTTTTTGATAGAGTATGACATAAAGGCATCATCCATAAACTTAACGCTTATGGTATCCAAGGTGATTATTTGGAAAACAGAGTTTAAAAAGTAGCCATTGATTCATATGCTTATAGTTCAGAATCAAACTATACTCTCCCAAAAAAGAAAGGCATCATGAAAATAGCAATTTCATGTAGCAATGAATAAAAAAGTGATTCATTTTACGAAAGGTTTTGCTCTGTTTATGAGTCCTATGGTGTTTATGTTTTGAAACATCACAACAAAACGCACCATCCGTAAAATACCCGTATTTAACAGCATGAGTTTCAATTTCTGCGCGTGTAGTGTCACAGAATACACAATTCACATGCAATGCACGTGAAAGTTAGGGATCAGATAGTCTCAATGATGGGTATAAAAGGTTGATCGCTGTCTGTCGATTATTCACTGTATTTGGAATATTGTTGACGAACGCAAAATGCCACGTCTAAGTGAAGCCAACCGTCATATCGCCATTGGTTTGCTTGAATCTGGCCAGTCTCAACGTGCAGTTGCCCGACGCATGAATGTTCACCAAAGCACCATTTCACGGCTGTGGGAGAGATATCGCCGGCAGAATTCGGTAGCAGATGCCCCTCGTAGTGGGCGACCTCGAGCGAACACTGCGGCGCAGGATCGCTACATCCGGGTACATCACCTGCGTCATCGAACAGCTACGGCGACCAGTACCGCTCGACAAATACCCGGATTGAGGAGGCTTTCTGCACAGACCGTCAGGAACAGGTTGAGAGAGGCTGGTTTACATGCCAGAAGACCTTATTTTGGCCCTGTGCGTCGACAACAACATCGTCGACATCGAGTTCAATGGTGCACCAACGTTCAGGCCTGGAACCTACCGAATTGGCGTAGAGTCTGGTTCAGTGATGAATCACGATTTCTATTGGAACGACGCGATGGAAGAATGCGGGTGTACAGACGTCGATGTGAACGTTTCGCCGACGCTTGCGTTCACCAGGTGGACAGATTCGGCCGGGGCAGTTTTATGATGTGGGGAGAGATCACCTGCCGTAGGAGAAGTGATTTAGTGATGATCCAGGGCAACCTGACAGCTCAACGGTACTGTGACGAAATCCTACGCCCACACCTCCTTCCAATCATTGATCGCCAGAGGGAGTTGTTTCAACAGGACAATGCCAGGCCCCACACAGCACACCACACTAGAGACTTCCTCCCGAACCACAACATCAATGTGCTCCCCTGGCCCTCAAGATCACCGGACTTAAACCCGATCGAACATCTGTGGGATGCCCTGGACAGACGGGTGCGACGCCGTAACCCTCAGACCCAGACACTACAGGCAGAGTGGGCTGCGATTGGGCAACACGAGATTCTGAGACTTATTCGTTCGATGCCGAGGCGATGCCGTGCAGTTCTGGATGCCCACGGTGGTCACACGAGGTATTGACTTCAGCGCCTCCACACGTCTCCATGTGACACTCAAACTGACTTTCCTCGAGTTGGTGCCAAAGACGGATAAGTCTGCATTCCCGGTGTGCAATTTCGCTATTTCATTGACTCATAAAGCCTACAAGATGTTTCAAAATATACATAAAAATACACTTGAAATTCCTATATGCGTTTCTTTTTTGGGAGAGTATATTTACAAGCAGGGGTGCCCCGTGGGTCGGCCCTAGGACCACTGCTGTTTATTGTTTACATTGCACACACTGCAACGAAACAGAAACGCCCGTCTACTACACTGCACACACTACCGACAACACAGAATGGTGCTCCAGAGTTCACTAACTCACACCTCACACTACCAACAACACAGAATGGTGCTCCAGAGTTCAGTACCTCACACACCTAACACTACCGACAACACAGAATGGTGCTCCAGAGTTCACTAACTCACACCTAACACTACCAACAACACAGAATTGTGCTCCAGAGTTCACTAACTACCACACACCTCACACTACCAACAACACAGAATGGTGCTCCAGAGTTCACTAACTCACACCTAACACTACCAACAACACAGAATGGTGCTCCAGAGTTCACTAACTACCACACACCTAACATTACCAACAACACAGAATGGTGCTCCAGAGTTCACTAACTCACACCTAACACTACCAACAACACAGAATGGTGCTCCAGAGTTCACTAACTCACACCTAACACTACCAACAGTCCTAAGCCCACTAAATAACACGAATGGTGCTCCAAGAATTCAAAGCCCACTAATTAACACGAAAGAATTCAAAGCCTTGGGTATGTTCCTTATAAAAACTGGCCTTCTAGGTCTCCTATAATCCCCCATAACCAACTAGTGCTAACATAAAAAAATACTACAAAACAAAACATAAAATACAACAAAACAAATACCAAAAAAACATCCCATAGTTCATTCACCCGACAACTAATTTCAAAATTCACAGAAATGTAATTATGCAACACTATTGCCGCTAACGCCTCCGTCAGGTTGCAATATCATATCGGTCAATTCACACCCCTTTCGATCTACCACTAAATGGTCTGGCGGGCCCGTGTGTGAAATATGCATTATGCATGCAGATGTCCCTGTTCGTAAAATGTCTGAACATAAAATACTTTTGTTGCATATGCATGATACTATTAATCAATACCTGTGCTCAGTGTTTCAAATAGTTATTGCAGTTGAAGTTCGGCCGATAAGTTGTGGCAAGTCGAATGGCAATATGTAACCATTTGTAATAAATATATGCATACATTTGCATAATCATTTGTAAAAGTATTTTTCCATCACGGCTCGGTATTTTCAATGGAATGATATGTATTTGTTTGCTCATTTGTGATAAATATATACCTAAATATGCCATTTGACTGAATGCTCTATGGTGGTTTGATGTGCAGGCAGAACAGGCCAGGGCTGCCATCCTCACTGTGTGCTCAACTAAGAGCATCGCACCGACAAGAACAGGTTTCTGAATCACTACCGTTTCGTCGAAACACAAACTTGAGCGTGATGCGCACTCAGCACACCAAAGAACGGGTCGATAATCGAGACGATTTGAAACCATGTGTGTGTGGGCCTTTATTGGACGTAGTCTGCCCTTGTGCTCTGGTTTGGAGAACTTTCGCCTACGTTAAAAGTTGGAAGACTATTGGCAAACACTATATGTATACCATTCTTGGGGAGAATGCGCTTACGAGCAGTTGCCAGCAAAGTCTTGGAGACAGTTCCGGATAAAGTGTAGCAGTACTTCAGTGTGGAAATAACAGGTAAGTTTTAAACTGGTCATTGTTCACACGCTGCTTTAACCTGGGGAAGTGGCAGAACTTTCAAGTCCAAGAGAAAAAACTTGGAACGCCGGGGTCCAAGGACCCCTAAGCCAACGCATGATTGCAGTTTCCCTTCTGAGAAAAGTCTCTGAAAACAATGTAGTCAGCCCTTTTTGTTTTGTTTTTAAGTGGTCAAAGTTCCGGCTGTTACCGAAACAAAATTCGAGAAGAGTATTTATATTTTTTCATATGAACCCAGTTTTATGAGTTTTGTCAAGAGAGAGAGAGAGAGAGAGAGAGAGAGAGAGAGAGAGAGAGAGAGAGAGAGAGAGACGATATACATGGTCATTCACGTGATGGTTATTGTTTGAGTAAATTGTAAAATTGGCAAAACAAACAAATCACAGCACACCCTAGGTATATTGGTTTATTATATACACGCCACACAACAGACAAGTCCCTCAGTCCCTCATATAGATGGTTGACTTATGTCATACCTTGATGTCGTGTATATCGATGGTTGACTTATGTCATACCTTGATGTCATGTATAGAGATGGTTGACCTATGTCATCCCTGGATGTCTTGTATATAGATGGTTGACTTATGTCATCCCTGGATGTCGTGCATATAGATGGTTGACTTATGTCATCAGTGGATGCCGTGTAAATAGATGGTTGACTTATGTCATTACTGGATGCCGTGTATATAGATGGTTGACTTATGTCATCCCTGGATGCCTTGTATATAGATGGTTGACTTATGTCATCCCTGGATGTCGTGCATATAGATGGTTGACTTATGTCATCCCTGGATGTCGTGCATATAGAAGGTTGACTTATATCATCCCTGGATGTCGTGCATATAGAAGGTTGACTTATGTCATCCCTGGATGTCGTGTATATAGATTGTTGACTTATGTCATTACTGGAAGCCGTGCATATAGATGGTTGACTTATGTCATCCCTGGATGTCGTGCATATAGATGGTTGACTTATGTCATCCCTGGATGTCGTGCATATAGATGGTTGACTTATGTCATCCCTGGATGCCTTGTATATAGATGGTTGACTTATGTCATCCCTGGATGTCGTGCATATAGATGGTTGACTTATGTCATCCCTGGATGCCTTGTATATAGATGGTTGACTTATGTCATCCCTGGATGTCGTGCATATAGATGGTTGACTTATGTCATCCCTGGATGTCGTGCATATAGATGGTTGACTTATGTCATCCCTGGATGTCATGTATAAAGATGGTTTACTTATGTCATCCCTGGATGTCATGTATATAGGTTCTATTTGTATTTCTTAAATTGATTTTCTCTCAAGAAAAAAATGAACTTATAGTCACAGTCTAACTACCCCCTGGGCGTGTTAACCTGAAACAATGTGAAACCTGATCCACTGATGCATCATCCCCGTCATTATTGGGCACAGCTGATTATATGAGCTATATGACCCATACAACAACACTCACTCATTCACATTCACATGTATCACATATGCCAGTCTGGGATGACCTTTTCTCCACCGTGGTCACCCGGCCCCAGGAGTAGCCAAGCAGGACGGGCCATCAATTTCTTGAGAATGTATTGTGGGAAGAAAGTTCACACCTCAGCTTTTTCATTATTGATTGAATGGACGCAGAGGCACTTGAAGAAATCTTTTTCCATCAACAGATGGTTGATTTGCTGTTGCGTCCTCGCGATGACAGAGTATATTCAATACATTCCATTATTTTTTTAGCTTAGGATTTATGAGCTGTGTATTAAGTGAGAAACAAATGATGGTGGTACCACAACTGGCGTAAATGAGAAGGCAGAAAAATGATTCCTTAAAAGAAATGTTGAGGTGAACGAGTAACTTTCCCTGGTATGTGACAGTTGCCACCGGGGGACAATATATCCGCCCAGTCTAACACTTGGCATCATTTATAGTGATACAAGAACACGATATGATATTGTCAGAATCGTGCACAGGAAATTCTTGTGATGATGGGCATTGCGATATCGTCTACCACCAGAGGGGCACATTTAGCTAAACATGGAAATATGTCTCATTCCACAGCCAATTGTGGTTATTGTCCTAGAAAAAAACAAACAACCTGTTGATCTATTATCGCCTTACAGAATATGTTGAAATATAAACAACTTTATATGTCGGACTGATAAAACAATGCCAATTGGGGAACACGCCAGTAAATGAACTGATTGTGGTGGTGTACTCTATATTCCTTTGGGACAGAAAAGGGGAACACTTGGGGAACACGCCAGTAAATGAACTGATCGTGGTGGTGTACTCTATATTCCTTTGGGACAGAAAAGGGGAACACTTGGGGAACACGCCAGTAAATGAACTGATCGTGGTGGTGTACTCTATATTCCTTGTCACAGAAAGGGAGAACACTTGGGGAACACGCCAGTAAATGAACTGATCGTGCTGGTGTACTCTATATTCCTTTGGGACAGAAAGGGGAACACTTGGGGAACACGCCAGTAAATGAACTGATCGTGGTGGTGTACTCTATATTCCTTTGGGACAGAAAAGGGGAACACTTGGGGAACACGCCAGTAAATGAACTGATCGTAGTGGTGTACTCTATATTCCTTTAGGACAGAAAAGGGGAACACTTGGGGAACACGCCAGTAAATGAACTGATCGTGGTGGTGTACTCTATATTCCTTTGGGACAGAAAAGGGGAACACTTGGGGAACACGCCAGTAAATGAACTGATCGTGGTGGTGTACTCTATATTCCTTGTCACAGAAAGGGGGAACACTTGGGGAACACGCCAGTAAATGAACTGATAGTGAAACTCTACTATATTTCCCCGAAGTCACCATTAGTCATTTGTCGACGTTGTAATTGGGCGATTCCAGGAATGACGAAAGGCCTGATCACATGCTATTAATTCTACTTTGTGGATTTGTGATTTACACGCTGCTTCAGTTAAAATATTGCCACGGAGTCATGATGGAGATGTGGTGATTTTGCCTTGATAAAGAATGGTTCTACCAACACGACCCATCATCATTTGTAGTATTTCCTTCCACATCTAAAGTCCAGGATCCATGACGAGTTATAAGTGAGTGACTTGCCTGAACTTTTGGAAAGTGCGTACCATAGCAGTGTCCAACAGATCGACGACCTTGGTATATTGAACGACACACGCCGTCAGAAGGTTACTCAAGAAGCACTTAGAGGTGTTGTCACTGGTCAGTCTTTGAGGACTTCTACTGAGCGTGACGGACACTACTGCAACAATGCAGAGCCCAGGTTCTATGACGGTGGTTGTTGTGAGACACACTGGCCCGTGGATTGTTCATATGTCTGCCTCCTCAGACACGTCAGTTGGCCACCGTCCAAACAGGAATTGATGACACTGTTTCCACTGTTTCCTATCACAGAAAACGTCAAAGCCAGAGGGCAACCAGTCTCGACAATCCACCAAATTAACCAGATTACATTACGTACCAAGTTGCTGTGGAAAAGGTGAAAACCCGTGATAACACCAGATGTTCTGAATAAAAAAAACCCAAACAAATATCTAACATAGGACACGTTGGCCGAGAACCGAATCAGTTGAACCAGCCTGGCACGTCCCCCGCACTCTACAGGACAGAGCAACCGGTCGAAGATAAATTGATGATCTACGCTGGAAATTAGCCAATGGATAGCCGATCGTGAATTAACAACTGTCTCACTTTACACAGAGATCTAATTAAATTTTGAGAAACAGTGTCAAAGCATGGTGCTCGGTACAATGTAGGCAACTAACCACCTGCTGCCTGTAAATGATGGGCTAACATTAGGTTCTGGAACTGAATTAATAGATTCACAATCACCACAGTGAGCAGTAACAGTAAGTAACTACCTGAGCAGTAAACACGATAGCGTCTGGTAACGGGGCGGAACTATTCTATGAGTCTAGAGGACATCTGCTTGTAATGTGGAACTATTCTATGAGTCTAGAGGACATCCGTTTCTAATGCAGAACTATTCTATGAGTTGAGAGGACATATGCTTGTAATGTGGAACTATTCTATGAGTTTAGAAGACATCAGTTTCTAATGTAGAACTATTCTATGAGTTTAGAGGACATCTGTTTGTAATGTGAACTATTCTATGAGTTTAGAGGACATCTGATTGTAATGTGGAATTATTCTTTGAGTTTAGAGGACATCAGTTTCTAATGCAGAACTATTCAATGAGTTTAGATGACATCTGTTTGTAATGTGAACTATTCTATGAGTTTAGAGGACATCTGCTTGTAATTCGGAATTATTCTATGGGTTTAGAGGACATCTTCTTGTAATGTGGAACTATTCTATGAGTTTAGAGGACATGTGTTTGTAATGTGGAACTATTCTATGAGTCTAGAGGACATCTCCATGTAATTTGAACTATTCTATGAGTTTAGAGGACATCTGTTTGTAATTGTGGAACTATTCTATGAGTTTAGAGGACATCTGCTTGTAATGTGGAATTATTCCATGTTGTAATGTGGAATTATTCCATGACTTTAGAGGACATCTGCTTGTAATGTGGAACTATTCTATGAGTCTAGAGGACATCTCCATGTAATGTGAACTATTCTATGAGTTTAGAGGACATCTGTTTGTAATTGTGGAACTATTCTATGAGTTTAGAGGACATCTGCTTGTAATGTGGAATTATTCCATGAGTTTAGAGGACATCTGCTTGTAATGTGGAACTATTCTATGAGTCTAGAGGACATCTCCATGTAATGTGAACTATTCTATGAGTTTAGAGGACATCTGCTTGTAATGTGGAACTATTTTTTGAGTCTAGAGGACATCCGTTTCTAATGCAGAACTATTCTATGAGTTGAGAGGACATATGCTTGTAATGTGGAACTATTCTATGAGTTTAGAAGACATCAGTTTCTAATGTAGAACTATTCTATGAGTTTAGAGGACATCTGTTTGTAATGTGAACTATTCTATGAGTTAAGAGGACATCTGATTGTAATGTA